TTTCAGCGTATATGTATCTTTACAGCTGAAGTAAGTCTCTAGAAGGTGGCATATAGCTGGATCTTGTTTTTAATCCATTTAGACACTGCCTTTCATTTGGAGAATTTAATCCAGTCACATTTCAAGTAATAATTGATAGGCAAGACTCACTACTGGCATTTTGTTAAATTGTTTTCTGGCTATTTTGTAGTTCCTTTGTTCCTTCCTTACTATCTTCTTTGGTAATTTGGTATTATAGAGTCTCCAACTAAAATTACAGATTTGTCTATTTTATCCATTCAGCTCTATCAGTTTTGTTTCACATATTTTGAAGCTCTGTTGTCTGCTGCATACACATTTCAGATTGCTAAGCATTCTTGGTGTACTGACGATTTTGTTATTACGCAGTGTTCTTCTTTGTCTCTGGTAATTTTCTTTGCTCTGAAGTGTATCTTACCCGTAATCAATACAGCCATTCACATTCTTTCTTTAAAATTACCATTTGTATGGTATATCGTTTTCCATGCTTTAACTTTCAACCTACCTATATCTTCATATTGGAAGTGAATTTCTTATAGATAGTATATAGTTGGATCGTGCTTTTATATCTACTCTGCCAACTGCTGTCATTTAATTGTTATAATTAGAATATTTACATTTAGGGGCAGCTGGGTGGTTCAGTCGGCTGAGCATCTGACTCTTGATTTCAGCTCAGGTCCTGATCCCAGGGTTGTGGGATCAAGCCTGACACTGGGCTTGGTGCTGAGCGAGGAGCCTGCTTGAGATTCTCTCACTCTCTCCCACGTGCCCCTTCTTTCATTCTCTCCCACGCTCCCCTTCCCTGCTTATGTGTGCACATGCACAAATACATGCACATGTTTTCTCTCTCTCTCAAAAAAAAGAACATTTACATTTAAAGTGAGTATTGATAAGCTAAAAAGCTTAAGTCTGCCATTTTATTATATGTTCTGTTTCCCTTTATCTTCTTTTGGGGTTACTTGGATATTCTTAGAATTTCATTTTGGTTATCCATACCTTTTTGAGTACTTTGTACAGTAGTGCACTTATCTTTTGACCAAGCAATCCCAATTCTAGAAATATACCATAAAAATATACCTCCAACAATACAAAAATACATATATTCAGGGTTATTCACTGCAGCATTGTATGAATATCCACACAATGAAGTATGGTGCAGTTCTAAAAAAGGATGACAAATTTCCCTATACTAATTTAAACTGATTTCCAGGATATACTGTTTTAGTGAAAAAAGCAAAGTTGAAGAGAGCATTTATTGTATGATACAATTTATGTAAGAAAGAATTAAACATAACAAAATATATATATATATATATATATATATATATATATATATATATATATATATATATCTACACATTATAAGAAGGACAAACCAGAAACTAAAATACTGGCTACCTTGAGTAGGTGGAAAACAGGTAAAAAGAAGGAATGGAAATAGGGCATTAGGGGTAAGGAGAACCAACACTTTTCATTGCATACATTTTAGTACAGCTTTGACTCTTAGAACAAACAGTAATGTTTCATATACCTCCTTAAATAATTAAAACCAGGATTTGGAAGAACTCAAAATATAAAACAAACAGTAATGAATAACCTCAATGTTCTACAAATGAATAACCACACTGAAAGGAGTGAGGAAAAAAACTAACCTAAGTAACTGAGGAAATAATTTTTTTGGCTGAATACTATAAGACTAAAGAAAAAAAATAACTTTATACTAATACCATACTCTAAATAAATTTTTTTTTCACAGGGGTATGGGTTAGCAGTTCTGACACCACTTTATGTGGATAGGATGGATAAATGACTAAACATATTATTCATAATGAAAGTCAGGTTTCTCACTGTCAGAAAGAATTTATAAATAAGAAAAAGGGAAGGCTAAAATAAACCTGTGGTGTTGGATTAGAATCAAGCTGTCAGTATGAACTCATGTTTTTTAAATATACATACAAAGAGAAAAATATGTTTTTTGTGTATATATGTATATGTCTATATATATATAGGCACACATATATTTCCTATGTGTATTTTTATTTACATATTTTGTATACACATTTACATGCATATATTTCCTAGCCCTGTCCACTCAGAAGGCCTGGCTGCAGTTATGCTCCTGTAGCAATGATCAGATCTTGGTCTTCGAATACCACTCTCCCATAAAAGGAACCAAAGCTCCTTGGAGAAGCTCCTTGGTTGTTGCCAATGTTGCAGGAGGAAAAACAGAAGATGACACTTAAAGCAACTTTATGGCTCCAAAAAATAAGAAAATGGTAGAAAAATGAACAGAATGTGATGGAAGGATACAGGAACTACCCTGAAGCACTTCCCAAAAGTCAAATCTGGAATAATTTGAGCAACAAAATAATAATAGTATTAGATCATATATAACCCCTAAAATAAAATAAATATACATGAGCTCATACTGATATAAATAAATGAAGAAATAAATGAAGAAGGGGCAACTCTCCTTTACTCAAAATTCCAATTAAAAAAATGTAGAAGAAATAGGGAAAATACAAAATCACCATGGGGCAAATACCACAGTAGTAACCTCCAGGAAAGATCCCCTGATGAATCCTAAAATTAATGTGTAAAGGTTTGAGGAGGAACCAGATAATGTATAATGTTAAAGTCTCTTCCCCCAAATATTAATTACAAAGGGGCAAAGAGTATCTTTACATGTAGAAACCTGGCAGTTAACACTGTTTTTACTAAGTTATCAAGGTTAACTTATCTAAAATGTATTGGCACCACGTACCTCCTATGAGGATGCATTGAGACGTGTAGTTAATTGGGTTTTACAGTAGTGATTTCCTGGTTTTGATAACTGCACCATTACTATGTAGGATGTTAACATGAAGGGAAGCTAGATGAAGGGTTCATGGGAAGTCTCTATACTAATTTTTGCAACATTTCTATAAGTCCAAAATTATTTCAAAATAAAAAAATTTACTCATTAAATGTATGTTAAATGTCCTAGATTATAGACACACCTACATTCTCACTGATATCCTGAAAGTAAATGTTAGAATTTTTTTCTAGCAGCCTTATCTACTGAAAGTGAAAACCTTCCAAATGAACTATAAACTACCTAATTAAAAACTATAATAAAATCAAAGTATGAGTGTCTATTGAAACTCATTTCCCTAGGCCAGAAAAGGGTAATTATTTCAACAGGTGTCAGGAAAATACAAATATACAATAATATTAATTTTTTTTCCTTCTGCATTGAGGCTGCATCCACATCCCCAACCATAAACTGTACCTTTTAACTACCAAGTTATTTTCCTAGTCTGTCCTTCATCAAATAGGTCACCAATGTTAATTCCTCTTAAAAATACTAGATAATTCTTTTGAAGTGGGAGCATACGAAGTAGTAAGAGTATTTAAGGATACAATTTTCAAAATTAGGGGTTGTAAAATAAACTACACAAATATTTGTGGGATTGTGTCAATTTGAAAATTTGAAAACTAAGGCTGGTTTGTTCTGGAGTCTTCCTATATCAAGAGATCCTTTTCCCAATCAGTGCCTGAAGGGTTGAGTTGTATAGCTGTTCTGGGCACCAGGGTACTACTGCTCCTTTTGAACATGGACGCGCACACTTCCCTTGTGCCAGATGCTACTCAATCTGGCAGAAGACTAACATCTGCTAGCCATTTCAGCTCTCTGTCATAGCTGCCACTGTCCAAAAAGCCAACTTGTTAGCATGTGGATCAGAAGAGGAATGACTTAATGTTCTGAAGAAAACATCGATGTACTCTAGTTATTATAAATGGATTTAATCCCAGAACTCTATGCTAGACATTCTTCTCACAAAAATTTATTTCCTAAGTAGTCCCAACACTTTATGTAGCCTGAAGAGTATTATAATTTTTATAGACAACATAAATTGCAATTATCATTAGTTAAAGAAATGAAACAACTCCCAGAACTTGAAGAAGTCAAATGTATCTTCAATGCTGGTGTTTCAAGGGACGTCCTATTACTTAGTAGAATCACTGCAATTCCCTATCTGTGTACCATGATATCCAGGGCACTATAGCAAATGCATAGGAGCCTCACAGGTTATTTAAAATTTTTAAGAACCTTCTGCCAGATATCATAAAATTACTACTATTAACTTGTTTGCATCTAACTACGTAATAAATGTGACTATTAATGTACTTCTTTTGGCCTACGGACACTATGAACCAAGGAAGTCAAAAGCTCTGTATTAGAAAATAATGAGAAAGGAGATGACAACAGCTGTGGAAGCTGTATGAAGGAACTTTCTAGGCATTCTCAAGGACTTTGGTGGTTAATACCATTTGTATTCTATCAACTATGATTTCATTCAAAAGTCACGGTTCTTTTAAACACAATATGTAATACTTTCTCTATGTATATAATGGTTTACTTAAAATTTCTGTAAAAGTCAAGGCTTTCCTTTTTCTCAATACAGGTATATTATGATACTGCTCATAATTATCATAGGTTTCCAAATAAAAAAGTCTTGGGAGTCCTATGAGCCACATAGAGAAACTGAACAAGTCAGAGACAGATGAAGAAGGGGATTAAAGTATTTTATTGTAGCTAACATGAAAAGAAGTGAAAGAAAATAAAGAATTAACGCAATTTATATACATAAAAGAGAGTGCAGTAAGTGTAATTAAGTTCTGAAACAAAGGATAAGAGATTCCTTTTACACTTGATGTGCAGGCATGGAGATGAATGAGGTACTGACAAAGATTTGGTGAGGCTGGTCAGAAGGGCTGTCTAGAGGCAGCCCGACTAATGACGATGTGACCAGGACAGAGCCAAGAGATGGGAGAAGGGCTTATGGTGGGTAACTACCCAGGTGTTTGAACAGTGGTAAGTAAGTGCTTTCCTTTCATCCTTTGTAAGTCCATAAGTATATATATTTAAATATATAAATATATAGAAAAATATATACATAAATATAAAATTTAACCTTAATTATAATGACTTTTCTCACCTGGATTTCATTTCCAGAACTGCAGTTATTTCTTGTTGGGAAGCCTGTAGTTGGTATAAGAGCTTGATGATATAGTTAAAGTGTTCTGGGTCAAACACCATCCCAACTTCAACAAACTGTAGAAGACAAAAAAAAAAAAAAAAAAAAA